GGGATAATTACGAAGAAATGATCATTGCAATAGCAGAAAAAGTGTAAATATCTTAAAAGAAAATATTAATATTTTATTCACACTTTTCTTTTTCTTTTTGGTATGTGCCCCTAGTGGGAACCGAACCTGGGACTCATGTTCTGCAGGCCAACGCTCCAACTGCTGAGCCAATCTGGCCCGGGCTTATTTGCACTTTTAATCATTTATTTAAAGAAATTTATATTGAATGCCATTTATGTGCCAGGCATTGTCTTAGGGCTGGGAACACAACAGTAAATAAGATAAACAAGAAACTTCTTCTCATGGAGCTTGCATCCAAATGAAATGAGGCAGACAGACAGGAAAACAATGTCAGATGGAGATACGTGCTACGCAAAGAATTAACAGAGGGTTATGGGTTAGGCATGACTTTCCATTTTAGATTGGATAGTAGAAAAATCTTCTCTAAGTAGTTGGCATTTACAGTTACATTTTAATTACAAGAAAGAGCCAGACATTTCTTAATTGGTGTCACTTGTGGTTTTTGTGTTAGGTTCTTTTGCACTTTCATTCTGCAGATATTCCTTAGATTATCCTATTTCCTCCCAGGCTTCAGTTACCATCTCTCTGCTAATGATTCTGCCATCCATTATTGTCAGCCTCGCTCTCTCCCCTGAGCTGTAGACCCAAATAGGCCTGCCCCCAAACACTTAGCACTTGTGGAACACACAAACTAAACATGTTTCATGCAGAGGAAGTCATTATCATCAATATCCCCAGATACAGTCAATTCTTGTTATTCGTGGTAGTTATGTTCTATAAAGTCACTCTAAACAATGAGTTAATGAATACTGAGCCATTGCTCCCAGGGAAATACAGGGTTATATTTCTGTGAGCTTCTGATCACAATGTTTTTATCAGCCAGTCAGTTCATAACTTTGTTTTATGTGTGTCTCTCTTTAAAGACACATTATTTAATATATATTGTTGATTCATTAATATTGAATTCATGGCCAATAGCATTCTAACTCATGCCTGAATGAAGCTTATCGAAAACATGTGTTTTCTCTGTAAGGCACATCTTGCCTTATTGAGCTTAGAAACAGTAGATGGCAATTCAGAAGCACAACATTTAAAAAAACACAAAAATGTAAGATGCACAGATGGCCAATAGGTACATGAAAAAGTGCTCAGCATCGCTAATCATCAGAGAAATGCAAATCAAAACCACAATGAGATATCACCTCCCACCTGTTAGATGGCTATTATTCCAAAGACAGGAGATATCAGACATTGGTGAGGATGTGGAGAAAAGGTAACACTTGTGCACTGTTGGTGGGAATGCAAATTGGTGCAGCCACTATGGAGAACAGTATGGAGCTTCCTCAAAAAAATAAAAATAGCCTTACCATATGATGCAGCAATTCCCTTTCTTCATTCTACTCCCTACATTACAACTTCCAAGTGTCTAAAACGTATTGTCTTTAGAGTTGAAGTCCAAGTATCTTAACATGATTTACAAACCTCCAGCCTTATAGCCATGAAGAACTTCTTTCCGTTCATGAGATGTGTGAAGCCTTTTTCTCTGAACCCCTGTGTCTCTACAAGGAACACTCTCCCCCTCCTCCTTTACCTGCCATAGTCTTCTGACTTGTTCTTTAATTATGAGTATAAATGTCATTGTTTTTCTGGGAAGCCTTCTCTGACACACCTCCCACTCAGTGTACACACACACACACCCACACTCTAATCCATGGGATTCTGTATTTTATTTTAATATAATTGCTTAATTGCTAGACTTCCACCATAGACTATAAATTCAGTGAAGGCAGGGCCATTATCAATGTGTACCACAGTGAAGCACGTTATATTTGTTAAGTGACTTGCTTTTCTGTGATATTGTGTATATTTATTAATTATTAGAAAACCTTCGTAGCACTGTAATACTAATGATATAATAACATAAAATGAAAACAAAACATCTTTTCACTTGTCTGCCTATTGTTTTATTTCTATTTTGCTTATACCTTCAATAGCTTTTGAGTTTAAAAAAAGTATTAGTGATGCCCTGGACAGTTTGGCTTTGCAGTTGGAGCATTGGCCTGCGGAGAGTCCTGGGTTCAGTTCCCGCTAGGGGCACATACCAATATATGTGTGCGTGTGTGTGTGTGTGTGTGTGTGTGTGTGTGTCAGTGATCAAAGGACTTTGATGCTGAAGTGGCAAACCTCTGCAGTTTATTGACCTATTTGTGACTAATAGGCAGACACTTCATCAGTTACTCAGCTGGACTGCTCAGACATCTGCTTCTCAAATTCCACCTGTAAGCACTGAGTTGACAAAATTGGCAGAGGAAATAGAATAATCAGAGGTGAATTATTTTAGTAGCCACTAGGGAAAATTGAACTCATTTTTGTAAATTAGATAAGTTGGTCTTTTCTTACATTTTTATTCTATTGAATGATGATTTGAAAGGTAAAATTATATCTAGTTTAAAATTAAGTAGAGGTTCATGATTTGGTTTTTGTATAGAATTTCATCTTGTGTATTTTCTATAATCTATAACAAATAATTCAATTAGTATACTATGGTCTAATTAAAGAGAAGTCTTTCCCTAACTTCTCAGCTAAGTGTATCTTGGCTCCAAGGCATGTTGAACGAGTAACGTCACACCAGAATAATAAAGGGCCTGTAGGACTGCTAACCTGAGAATGAAAAGCCCTTCAGTGCGTACGGGATGTAATTGACATTTAACAACACCACTACGCCGCGAGATGGTGACAAGTGGGGAACCACTTTAACAAACCAACAGGCAGTTTCCACTTTTTATTTTTTAAACAGAATCATTTGCTACCTCATTAACTTACGGACTAAGAAAGCCTTGAAATAGCTATCTTAATGTTTGATTTTAGTTTATAGGCAGAAAAACTCAGGTGTGTACAGTTATAATCACTTTAGTATTTTAAAACCTGTGTGTTTAAGTTACACCAGGGGTCAACAAATCATGATCCACGGGCCAAATCTTGCCTGTTGCCTGTTTCTGTGTGACCTGTGAACTAAAAATAGCTTATATTTTTAAGTGGTTGGTAAAAAATCAAAAGAAGAAGAATATTTTGTGACAGGTGAAAATTATATGAAATTGGAAGTTTTAGTTTCCACAAGTAAGGTTTATTGGAACCCAGTCACCCCGATGTAAGTGTGTCCGTGGCAGTGTTTGCAGAGGAGTTAAATAGTTGCAATCGACACAACGGGGCTAAGCAAGCCGAAAAATGGTTCCTGTCCTGCCTTGTATGGAGAACATTAGGTAACCCCTAAGTTGTGCTTTTGCGTTTTCCTGAAATCAACTTTCCCAATTCAAAGAAGTCATGTTGGGTAATATTCGTCAGACTTTTGGGAAGGTGAAGGACACTGATCGAGGTACTGCAGGAAGTTTATACTTACTCACGTGGGCAGGGCTCTCACTTTCTTAATTGATTTATTTTAAAAACTTTTTAAACGAGCACTTGCATAGTGGTTATTATTTATCAGGCACTAATTTAAAAGCTTTGTAACTCTTCTGAACCTTTATAACAACGTCGTGTGGTTGGTATCTCTATGAATGAGGAAACCACAGCTCATCTGTTGGGGAAAGTTAAATAGTTAAATAGTGGAAGTTAAATTAGAGAAAGGGAAGGTATCTAGCTAGCCATGTGAGTTGTAGAGCTAGTAAGGGGCAGAGCCATGATTTGAACGAAATAGTTTGGTTCCAAAATCCTCATCTTAACCACTGTGCAATGCTGTCTCTCCTTTTCCACTCTCGTTTATTTAGAGAAGTCTTGGATTAAAGCAGAAATTGGTCAGAATGGGAGCATCATTTTTCAAAGCTCTATTCGTTTTCTTGGGCTGCTATAAGAAACTGGGTGGCTTCAAACAACAGAAATTTGTGCTGTGATAGTTTTGGAGGCTAGAAATCTAAAATCAAGGCATCAGAAGGCCATCCTTCCTTCCAGACTCTGGGTGGAACCCTTCCTCGCATCATCCCAGCTTCTGGCAGTGGCTCTCACTCCTCTGTGCTCCTTGATTTGCAGCTGCACCACTCCAATGTCTGTGTCACCACGTGATGTCCTGTTTGTCTCTCTTTCTGTGTCTCTTCTCCTCTCTTTTGAGGACACCAGTTATATTGGATTAAGGGCCACCCTACTCTAGAAGGACTGCATATTAATCTAACTAATTACATCAGCAATGACCCTATTTCTAAATATGGTTACATTGAGAGATCCCAGTCACAGAGCTCTTGAGACAGCTCTTATTCCTCTAGCACCTACAGTTAAGCCCAGGCACCCCAAAAGAAAGGTGGAAAGTATGCACTAAGAATTTCCAGGGCTTTGTTCCCTCCCCTTCCCTTCCCCCCTTCCCCTCCCCCTTCCCCTCCCCCTCACCATTCCCTCCCCCTCTCCTCCCTTCCCCTCCCCTCCTCTCCCCTCCCCTTTCCTTCCCTTTCCTTTCTCCTCCCTCCCTTCCTCCACCTGTCCCTCCCTTCCTCCTCCTTTCCTTTCTATCTTATGTCAATTCTGTGCTAGAATATATTTTATCTGGGAGGACTGATTTGCTGTTCTCAGTTCCTACCTTTTTCCTGCCTCTCTTTGGCCCTTTGCTCATGATTGGATTTTATTCTGAACATTTTTTCTTCTGTAATGTTCTGTAAAGTTTTTTAAGGAACATTTTCTCAACTCTTACAACCTATGAGAATGTTGGTTTGTCTTTATTCTTGTGAATCCATGATAGTTGATTCAGAAACCAGTTTTGGTGTTTTGGAGGTTGAGTTCTGAGAAACTTGTATCCATCCCTATGGGATTTGTAAGTAAGGGTCAAGAAATGATAATAGTTATTTTTATTTTTTCTATGATTATTATCATTGTTAAACTAACAGCTTTTGAGAAATGTGGGAATTCCCCAGTTCCAGACCTGGGAGCTTCTCTTTCCCATGAAATACTAAAGTAATTGGTCCACTCATGTCAACTCATTTTCTTTCATTTATTTTTAGGGTGCCCGGGAAACGTTTGAGAACTACTACCGAAAACAGAGGCGAAAACAAGCCCGTTTGGTGCTCCAGCCTCCGTCTAACATGGTAGGATCAGCACCTTTACTTCTCTCACTTTTCTTTTCTGGTATCTTTTAATTATCTTGCATATGTGCTTAAAATATTTTAGTTAGTCTGAGACCGCTATTGATGAATGTAAGAAAATAGCAACTCCAACACCTATTGATTACTATGTGTTAGGCATTGTTCTGAGTCTCATTTTGCCCTCCCCGTAACCCAATGAGGTAGGTACTATTATTATATTTATGTAATAGTCTTGGGAACTGAGACTTAAGAAGTTAAGAAGTTGATCTTTAACTCTGTCTTAATGTATCCAAACATGAATAATAACTTTTTTTTCCCTTTGTTGCAGCATGAAACTTTAGATGGCTACAGGAAGTATTTTAATCAAATTGTAGGGTAGGTATATGAGTGTATGTGTGTGTATGTGTGTTATTTGTGGGACTTGGAAAAATCATTTTTTTATTGGGATTTTTTTTTTTTTAATTCTTAAGACATGATTTAGTTTTGATTTTCTGATGATTTTAAAGGAATGTTCTGTTGCTTTCAATGTTACATTGTTGCAAAGGACTTTTTGTGGATAAAGGGAGAAAAACATTATTATATTTGATGTTTTGTTTCTCCATTCTTGGTAAAAGAGAACCAAATAATCAGCAAAAGTTGACAAACTTTTTCTAAAAAGGCCAGATAAGTATTTTAGGCTTAGTAGGCCATAGGGTTGTTGTTGTTGTTGTTTTTTGTCACAACTAGTCAGTTCTGTTGCAATGTGAGCAATTATAGACAATACACAAATGAGTGAGCGTGGCTGTGTTTTATCACAACAGTATTTTTTTTTTTTTTTTATCCTCACCCGAGGATATTTTTCCACTTTTTGTACAGATAGAGTGGGAGGGAGAGAGAGGAAGGGAGAGACAGACAGAAACATCGACGTGAAGGAACACATCGAGTGGCTGCCACCCGCACGACCAACCAGGGCCGGGGACAAACTGCAACCGAAGTACGTGCCCTTAGCGGGAACCGAACCCGGGTCTCTCCAGACCGCAGGCCGACGCTCTAACCGCTGAGCCAAACTGGCCAGGGCCACAACAGTATTTATAAAAGCACACAGTGGGTTAGATTCACCCAAGGGTTATAGAGTTTGCCACCCTCATCTCGAGTATCTGTACTGTTACGGAATTGCAGTTCCCAGATAAATATCCCAAATATAGGCTTCTTATTCTTATTGTCAAATAATGACTTTGCAGTTAAAAGGAAAAAAATTGGATTGTTTCATGAAACTCCTTTTTTTTAAGATTAAACCATTTCAATGTAATTGATAGTTTTAATTAAAATATAACTATTCTGTATTTTAAAGAATTGTTTTAATTAGTATTGACATTTAGGCAAGATAGCTGAAGATACATTTTAAAAGCATAAATATATAAAAGCCACAGCAAAATATAAAAAAAAATAAGTATTTTTTTTTTTTTTAACTTTTGTAAGATACATTTTCAATACTTTGTTTCGAAAGTCCATATAAGGATAAGGGGTAATTATTTTGATATTTTGTGTGTTGGATTGGGTTCTTAAAATATATGTGTTTTAGCTTTCATTGTCTCTTTAAAACCTATTGGTTTTTAAAAATATACTAATGGCCTGATGGTTTTAATATGGTAAAATAAAGCCTCCTTTACCTATAAACATTTTCTTGCCTTTTAAATTGCTGGATACCATGGTGGTTAACATTGAACAGAAATGTAACTCTGATTTCTGTAAAAGTGGTTAAGAAGATATCAAGATCAGGGGCATACTTTTAAGTCCAAGAAATCTGTTTCATTTATTATACCAAACAGCTTTCTTTAAGAAAAGATGATCATTAACTTAGAATTTAGTGGCAGCCCTTAATGTTTGTCAAACCCTTGAGATAGTATGAAAACTGTAATTTCTGACAGCTGTGCTTTTTTTCCCCCTCAATCTTAGCTTTTTTGTGGTTGAAGATCATATTTTACACACAACCCAGGGCTTAGTAAATAGAGCCTACATCGATGAACTATGGGAAATGGCACTTTCCAAAACCATAGCTGCACTCCGTACCCACTCGGTATGTAAGAAGCCCAAGAGAAGTTCTTTCTTTGCGCCTATTATCTATCTGCTATTCAGTGTTGTACTGTTTTAAAATAATCATATGTGTATCATTGGAATCTGAGATCAGGGTGCCAGCATGGGGGTTGCTGGTGAAGAGACTTTCTTCCTGGTTTGGAAATGGCTACATTCTTATTATGTCCTCTTATTATCTAAGGCCCTGTCTCTAAATATAGCCATCCTGGGGCAGCCCACTTGGGTTCTCTCCCTGCTGTGGGGAGTCTATCTGTCTTTCAAATAAACTTTCCTAGTGCTTAAAAAAATAAAAATAAAAAAGGCATCCTGATGGTTAGCATTTCAGCATATGTATTTGGGGGGACACAACATTCGGTCCATAGCATCTGTTATTTCCCAACATATTTTGAAGGCCACCTTTGCTATCTCATGATATGTATTCTAGGCTCTATGATTCTCCCTTTCCCTTTCCTTCTGTATGTCTTGAGTCAATACAGCATTGTTTTGATTATATTACATTTGATATACTATGGTTTAATTTTTTTATAGGACATGTGTATTCTGTAAAATCCTCTTTTTAAAATATGCTATTTATCTTATTTTTTAAGATTAATTTGAAAATTACTTTGTCACATCCCCCCCTTGAGTCTTATTATACAGTAAATCTGTACATTTAATTGGAAATAATTGACATTTTTATAATTCTGATATTTTTCATCAAGAATATATATATTTTTCTCCTACTTGTTCTTATGTCTTTTGGTAAAATATTTTATATGCTCTCCATTTAAGTCCTATTTTTGGTGCTTTATGTTTTTTTTTCAAGATATATATTTTATCTTCACCTGAGGATATGCTCATTGATTTTTTGAGAGAGAGAGGAAGGGGTTGGGGGTAGGGAATCAATCAGTTGTCTCCCGTGCATGTCCTGACCGGGAATCAAACCCACAACCTTTTGGTGTACAGGAGGATGCTCCAACCAACTGAGCCATCTGGACAGGGCTTAGGCAATATTTTGAGGAAGGGTCCCCCCCCCCATCATATTTATTAACTTGTATTGCTCTAATTCTATGGGAATCTTATATTTTGTTTGTTTTATATGTGTTCATTTCAGCGATTTTTACCAATTTTATTTTATTCCTGGGAAAAGCTGTTTTTTTTTTTTAGAAAACTTAGATTTCTTTCAAGCAATTCTTTTATGTAAAGCAGTAGTTCTTGATTTTGCATGTGACTGATACATTTGGTGAAGCCACGGGACAAATCTGTAGGACTCTCAGCAGGACAATATCCCTCTTCATCATGCAGTCACATTGGATGCATTAAGAGCAGGACACTTTCCACGTGTGCTGATTAGAGTATATATATGTGTGTGTAGAAAGTAATCTTATTGGAGTATCTCTTTGTAAATCGACTGTATATTCTTTTGAATTGAAGAATAAATGACAAAATGCTCCCCCCTCTCCCCCCAATAGTTCAGCATCAATCTACAGAGGAAGTAGATTAGTGGTTGCTTAGGGCTAAGAGTAAGGATGGGGTGGCTTAAAGGACACTGAATCTTCTTCTTTTTTTTTTTTTTTTGAGGTGAAGAAAATGTTCTAAACTTGACTGTATTTGTGTCTGCACGTATCTGTAAATATACAAAAAACTAAAAACCAAAGAATTAGGTACTTTAAATGAGTAACTTGTGTAGTATGGGAATTGTATCTCAAGAGAGCTATTAAAAAATAAGTTAACATCACCACATTTACTCACTGAACCATTTTATCCATTATGAGATGAAGTAGTTGATACCACAGATGCTAATTCTGTTTCATGACACTGTTTATGGTATTGTATTACCCAGCAAGCAAAGCAAAATAAGAACGACCCAAACATCCAAACAAATCTCAAAGCAAGCTCTATATTTGAGTGATTATGTTTTTTGTTTATCAAAAATCATGTATAGCCTCGGCTGTGATTTGTCCCCGGCCCTGGTTGGTTATGCAGGTGGCAGCCGCTTGATGTGTCCCTTTCACGTCGATGTTTCTCTCGTTCTCTCTCTTCCTCTCTCTCCCTCCCACTCTATCTGAACAAAAAATGGAAAAATGTCCTCGGGTGAGGATTAAAAAAAACCCAAAAAATCATGTATATATTTTGAACTTTTTTTTTTTTTTTATTCTCACCCGAGGACATTTTTTCCATTGTTCTGTTCAGATAGAGTGGGAGGGAGAGAGAGGAAGAGAGAGAGAGAGAAACATCGACGTGAAAGGGACACATCGAGTGGCTGCCACCCGCACGACCAGCCAGGGCCAGGGATAAACTGCAACTGAGGCACATGTCCTTAGCGGAAACCGAACCCGGGTCTCTTTGGGCCGCAGGCTGACGCTCTAACCGTTGAGCCAAACTGGCCAGGGCTATATTTTGAACTTTTTATGTCACTATTTAAAACTACTCTTTTACTTTTTCAATTAAATTATTAGTCATTGCGTAATTTGGAAACATTTAAAAAGATATAATATTTCAGGTAACTAATGTATGTAATAGCCTCATGCTGATTTCAAAACAATAAAGATCTTACATAATCTGTCTCACTTAGAGTTAAATTTAGCAATATACTAAAAAAATAATATGCTAATACAAAGGAGAGTTCATATCAGGAATGGTTCCATATTAGATATGCTAATATACTTTCTAATATGATTGTTAATATAATTGATAAACAGATTGATAATACTGAAAAGGTATTTTTAAGATTTATAATGATGGAACAGTGTAATCCTTTGTGGCTCAAAAAACTTACTTTTTATAGATATAAAATATTGCTCATTTTTTCTTATTAGTAGTTGAGAGTGTATACTGTGATAGTTTTATACACATCCACACCCACACCCATTACCTGACATATACATATTTTAAGTTTATTTATTTATTTTTAAAATAAGTTTTTAACTTGATTTTTTTTTTAGAGAGAGAAGAAGGGAGAGAGAGATAGAAACATCGATGTGAGAGAGAAACATCGTTTGGCTACCTCCTGCACACCCTCTATTGGGGATTGAGCCTGCAACCTGGGCATGTGCCCTGACTGGGTATGGAACCCGGACCTCTCAGTCCCTGGGAGGATGCCCAATCCACTGAGCCACACTGGCTGGGCATTTTCAGTTTTTTTGAGTCAAAGGGTATACTAAGCATGTGTCTTCCAAGTCTCCTAACCAAATTCTCATGGAAATAACATGGGGGGGTGGGGTGGGGGGTGGGGAGGAACAAACTAAAAGAAAAACTCTACAAAGTAGCATCTATAGGCTAGAAATTTCAAAAAAAATTTTTGAACTTAGAAAAGAGATGGAATCAGAACAATGTCTGACCCCAGGAATAAAACTTAGATTATGTATGGTAGGGGATAGTTATTGTCAAAATAGGAGATATTCTTCCAAATGGAATATAGGAACACTTAAAATTCAGAGTCAAACAAATACAATGAGTAGGAATTATAAGGGAAATTATTTAGAGGTTTCAATAACCCTTGACTAGCCAGCTGCTTACCCAGTTCCTCTGGCCAACCTTACCGTCTAAATAAAGAGGCAATAGCATGATTGGCAAAATTCTCTGGTACCACTTATTGAACAAAGTGATTCTTCTGCCCCACCCATTTATAAAGAGCCTGTACTGTTTCTTGGGAAATAGACTTAAAACTGCAGAGGATGAAACCAATACCACTTAAACCGTACTAATTAACCTAGTCCTTCATTCCATAACATAAACAAATTGCCAAGGGTCATAAAATATTTGAGGAAAATCAATCGCAGCAAACAGAAAACAACAATAAACAACTAGAGTAGCTATTCTTTAGCCAATATAAATAGTTCAAGGACTACGAAAAAATATACAAAGTAATAATCATTTCTCAGTTTATAGGAATATAGGAGGCTATGTTATTCGTACCAACTATTCAGTTGGACTAACTAGAAAAACTACTTTGTGTGTGTGTGTGTGTGTGTAAATCTATATATATTTATCATATAAGATGTTCCTTAAGTCTTAGTAAGGATATTAAGGAATTACCAGGTCAAATCCAAGGGACACTTGGGATAGGTAAACATTTAAACTGCCTTTGCCTTGGGCTCACTTGTTAATCCAGACAATTTGAACTTAGATTTTGACAGCCTGTTGGGCCTACCCAAGATGGAGGTGGAAAATATGAAAGGAAAGTTGAGGAACATAGATAATTGATATAGAGTTTTGGTTGTATCTAATAAAGATTAAGAAAGAAAGGATAGTCACCAAGGAGGGGACTTTAATAATTAAAGAAACAAAAGAAAGAAATGTCCCTGCGGGAAGAGAGACTATATTATTAAAGTTGAAAGGATATATCTTGTGTCATGGAGGGTAAATGACAGCAGACAAGTTTTTCACATCTGAAATTTTATATTTTAATTTGAGAGCAAAAGAAAAGTATTTTTAAACATATCAGGATTTAAAAGTTTACTTTTTACCTATCCTATCTTATTGGTGTTCTATAATAAGGAATGTAAAGTGGAAAAGAAATCCAAAATGTAAGATGAGATAGGATTAAATACAATATGTTAAAAAGAGAGTAAAACTCATGGATAAATCTAAATAACTGAGTATTTGTTTGCAAGGTTTAATGCTATTAAGAATCTATACAAAAGGAGAGGCTTAATGTTTAAAAAGTTTAAGTGAAAACTCCAGATTATTTCAAGTAAACTAGTGGGCAGAAAGTATATAACTTATTAATGAGGTACTTTAAAAGAATTGCAATGAAAAACAAAGAAACAAACAAAAAGAAACAATTATAAATAGAAACTTAAAATGGAAAAAGTCCAGATATGTCAGTAATCACAGGGAATGTAAGAGTTAGAACGTTTTATAGTTTGGTTACTAAGAGAGTCATACATAGTTAAGATTACCTACAAAGACTGAATATAAAGAAAGGGGAGCAGAAATGGCAATATTCTGTAAGGCAAATAGAACTGAAGTTGAAGACCATTAAATGGGGGAGGAGAGGCACATTTTGTATTAATATTAGTTTTAACCTACCAAAAAGACAATAGCTTATATGCAGGAGACAACAAGCATAAATATGTATAAAAACAAAAACTGCTAGTTATAAGAAGAGAAACTGATGAACCACACCATTGTAGGAAAATTTAACTACATTTTTCAGGAATTGAAATATCAAGTATAGAGTAAGTAACCAAACTATGAGTAAGAGAATTGAATACCGAAATCAGTGAAATTTAATATAGTGATTTATACATCTTACTATCCTGCTGTCATCTGTCATTTCAGTTTTCAGGTTTGTTAATAAGAGATTATATGTGGACTTTATTTGTTTTGTTTTTTTTTTTAAATCCTCACCCGAGGAAATTTTTCCATTTTTTTGTTCAGATAGAGTGGGAGGGAGAGAGAGGAAGAGAGAGAGAGAGAAACATCGATGTGCAAGGGACACATCGAGTGGCTGCCACCCGCATGACCAACCAGGGCCAGGGACAATTGACTAGTTTTGCTTTTGGTTTCATTGATCAAATCTTTCTTGTGTTCTCTAAGTCATTGATTTCTGCTTTTATTTTGATCAGTTTTGTTCTCTGACTTACGTATGGTTTCTTTTGGCTTTTTGGGCCTAGCTTCATGAGTTGAGTGCTTAGTTTGTTTACTTTTAATCTTTTCTGTTTTCTAATATTTGCATATTAAGAAATGATTTTATTTTGAAAATAGCTTTAGCCACATTTCATACGTTTTGATATGAAGTATTCATTGTTGTTCATTTAAAAATAATCTGCAATATTAATTTGGTTTATTCTATAACTGAAGAGTTATTTAGAAGTGTGTTTTTTAAATTTTCAAGTTTTAAATATAGATCATGGCTTACTGGAGTCTCTACTTAGCTCTTCCCTGGCCAAATCTAGTGTTACCTTAAATCAGGTGTTAGGCCTTTTCTTGAGAGCCTTCATCAGGTGAAGCAGTAAATAATTAAATCACAATTTAGTTTTATTTTTAATAATTAAATTTTTTCTTAATTGTCTTTTTTTTTTTTTTTTTTAGTCGTATTGCTCTGATCCAAACCTCGTGTTAGATTTGAAGAACCTCATTGTGCTTTTTGCTGATACACTTCAGGTTTGTGACTTCTGTTTACATATATTATCTAGATTAGTATTTTATCAGCTCTAAGCCTTTTAACTGTCTTCTATCTATCTAAGCATGAATTAAGTACCGTTCAGTTTTTAGTTGTTTTTCTTCTTTTCCTGGAGCTAGAGCTTTTAATTTCTTTGTAGCATTTCCTGATCATCACTTTGGTGGTCACGTTTATGTTCTCATAAATAGTTCCCATCCCCCCCTTATTTTCCTTAGAGCAAATCAATGAATTTTACCAGCTACTACCTTAGTTTTCTTAATTCAGATATAGTGCCCGAGTGGCTTTAGAGTTTCTTAACTACCATCTTGAATCATGAATATTGATTTAAACCACATATTAATATTAATAAAATAACATTAGAAGTGAGTGAGATTGGTAGCATTTTCAGTTACTCTCCCTATTCCTGATGTTTGTGAAGTGTTATAGGCAGAGTTGTAGGGAGAGCTTAGCTGATGTTATAACCTGTATATATTGATGTTAATTTTCATCTTTTAATTTTTTTCTGACTGGTTTAAATATTTTGGTATGTACCTTTTTAATTCTTGAGAGATAAATACTAGGTATTAGGTGAGAATGAAAGACTGTTTATCATGATTACATTTAAGTTGTTGGCCAAAGGAACAAAAATATCTTTCAATGCCTAAACTCTCATATTACTAAAAAAAAAATCACCTTATAAAATGAAGCTGTTTTCTTCCTTTGTTTCAGGTTTATGGTTTTCCTGTAAATCAGCTTTTTGACATGCTGTTAGAGATCAGAGATCAGTATAGTGAAACTCTGCTAAAGAAGTGGGCAGGTATTTTCAGGTGAGAAATTATCTATAGTCGTGTGTGTGTGTGTGTGTGTGTGCGTGCGCGCACACACATGTGCATTCATTGTTTATGCATAAGTTTTTTCAGATGTAATGAGCAACAAGTAGGCTTATATTTTGTACCTATGATCTAGATTATGAATGGTAATAAAAGTAAATTTCAGTGATGTCTCAAATAAAGTTCCCAAGTTATCCAAAATCAATGTGAATCAGTGTGTTAGTGTCTACCATGTGGGAGTCCTTAAATCCCACTGTGGCTTGTTTGTTCTTTTGAATACATGTCAGATATCTTGGTTTGTACCATCTATATCATCTTGTGTCTTCTTACACATTTTTTTTGTTTTCTCTTTGAATATCATGTCTCGTCTACTGCTCACTCATAAGGTAGTTGCTTTTGAGCCTTTTTGAATAATTTAGCTTCTTTGGAACCTTTTTTGAAGATTCACTTATGTGATTCCTCATCTTTTTCATTCTCTACACACAGAGAAGAGGCCTATTACAATCCAGTGTTTGAAGCACATTATTTAAGTAGTTGTTGTAACATGCATATAACAATGAGGAAGTTCTTTTGTTACACCTCTCACAGATAGCTCCTTGAACTGGCATACACTCCATGTCATTCACTTCAGTTTCTTCTCCTTTTGAATCTTGACTTAAAGTGATCCCTGCTTACCACAAGACCGCTTCCTGGATCAGCTTACCCGGCTTTCAGATTCTTACATTGCTCCTTCAATCTTAACTCTTTATCGTTTATGATAATCACATAGTGAAACTTATTTGTATATTAATATAAACATTTATGTTTCCAAGAACCAGGTTTATCTAATGCTATAATTGTATTTAATGGAGGATTATCTCTATAGGAACCTTGAAAATTAGTATCATGATATATTCATGGTTTTAAGAGCATCTGAGCCCTGGCCAGTTTGGCTCAGCTGTTAGAGCGTCGGCCTGCGGTCTGGAGAGACCCGGGTTCGGTTCCCGCTAAGGGCACGTACTTCGGTTGCAGTTTGTCCCCGGCCCTGGTTGGTCGTGCGGGTGGCAGCCACTCAATGTATCCCTTCACGTCGATGTTTCTCTCTCTCTCTCCCTTCCTCTCTCTCCCTCCCACTCTATCTGTACAAAAAATGGAAAAATGTCCTCGAGTGAGGATAAAAAAAAAAAAAAGAGCATCTGACCCGATATCTTCAGTAAATTTATGTTTTGATTTTGATAGTATGGTTTTTGCTTTTATAGAACCCCAGTTTGGTTAAAAAGTCAGAACCTATGGATGCAAAAAATTTCATTCTTAATATAGAGCAGTAGATGAAGTAAATGAATATAATTTGGATTTATTATGGGAGTTACTTTTCCTCGTCTGCCAAATTTGAAAGTTAGAATAGAAGATCTAGAATAGAAATAAAATATATCTTATTTAAAAACAAAAAAACAAATGAAACCCCTTTGCTTTTTCCAGAACACACATTCTTTTATTGTTAACTTACTTGCCTTAAGTCTTCAATATGTTGCCTTAAATTTTCCGTCTCAACTGTAAATCTCAAATACCGTGAAATCAAGTTTATAATTGTGTTCTATTTGTTTCAGAGTGTAGTTTTCTTCTAAGGTTGTCCTTACCTGAAATCCAATATTTATGTTGTAAAAGGAATAGCCCAGGGACTTGGAAATGTTTATTTTGGGTTGTGGTATATATACACACAACTATTGGTATTCACCCGAAAATTACTTGTGATTACTACAGTGATTAACCCATCCTTCCTTCCTTCTTTTCTTTGTTTATTTTCTTTATAGAAACATACTTGATTCTGACAACTACAGTCCTATACCAGTAACAAGTGAAGAAATGTACAAAAAGGTGGTAGGACAATTCCCATTCCAAGATACAGAGCTGGAAAAGGTAAGGATACTTTAAAATAAACTTCTTAGTTTGGTTTGGATCCTTTACAAGCTTTCATTGTATCAGTCCCATTAAAGGTGTTACCTCTAACTCTGGGTTCGAACTAGAACACCTTAGTTTTGGATGCTTTGGACTTAGAACAGGAGTTTCTGTTTTGGGAGTCAGTAGATGGCTTTGTGGATCCCCTTTGAAGTATTTGGAAGATTGAAGTGTTTGGTTTACACTTTGAAGTACTTGGTTTTATTATACCCCCTAGGATATTTTCTCCCCAAAACATACAGTGAAATTCACCTTGTATGCTATGTTATGCTATGTAATGCTATTGGTTTTGACAATGCATTGAGTCATGTATGTACTAACACAACAATGACACAGTCCAGTTCTGTCATCCCCCAAATTCCCTCCTGCTGCCCCTTTTCAATCAGTTTCTCCTTCCACCCCCAACCTTTGGCAACCACAAATCTGGTTGCTATCCATCTACTTTTGCCTTTTCTAGAATGCCAACATAATTGGAATCATACAGTGTGTAATCATCAAGACTGATTTTTTTCACTCGGCATAATGCTTTTGAGATTCATCCAAGTTGTTGCATATTATCGATAGTTCATTCCTATCTACTGCTGAATATATATTCCAGTTTATTTGTCACTTCATGTTTTGAAGGACATTTGAATTATTGTTTATTTAAACTTATATTTATTCTTTTTAGTATCAGGAAACTTACAGAAATACTTTCTTAAGTTGAGCTTGTTAAACCCACAACTCGCAATGTAGAAGAAAATTCCTTTTGCACTTTAATTAATTTACAAGTATCTTCAGTGTATGTTCATTTGTGATTTGCTTTCCTTAATTCTTCATTTACAGCAACCATTTCCAAAAAAGTTTCCTTTCTCTGAATTTGTGCCAAAAGTTTACAGCCAAATTAAAGAATTTATCTACGCCTGTCTGAAATTTTCAGAAGATCTTCATCTAAGGTATAGTATGATACAGTGGAAATGCAAGAGATACTGATATGGAGACTACATACATAAATATCCTAACAAACTTTTGATATTCCTTTCAGCTTTGATTTGGAAAGTCTTAATATTAGCTCTTCACAGCATGGCACTGCTGTATTTGTATAGTCATGGTGAAAGAAAATGGTGGAAACTTTTGATTAACTTGTTTTTATTTATATGACTTAACTTATTCTGTACCGTTTACAGATTTGCATTTCAACACTTTTTCTTAATGAGAGCTCATTAGAAAAGAGTAGTATAACATACTGGTTTTGACATTCTATTTGATGACATTTTAAGGCCAATAGGAGTGTAGCAGGTAAAATCCTTTGGAACCCGTTTTTTCTTCTTTTTTCAAATATTCTCTGGACTTGTTATAGGTATCCATATTTTCTTTAATTTATGTTTAATTATTTAACTAACACATTTTAGCCTATTTATATACAGATACACCCTGCCTTTTGGGAATGTAGAAATAAAAGATGCAGTTTTCAGCCCTTAGATATTTTAAGTATCTACTGAGGATAATGAAAATAGACATATCAAATATACCAGGGAGAGTGTTGTAATATGTATAATGTACTTTTTAAAGCACCTAGAAGAACAGTTAGTTCATCTTAAAGAATTTGAGGGAGAATAGTCATGATGATTGGCTTTCTAAAGGAACCTCTTTCTCTCAGTGAATGATATGATACCACCATTCTCCCAAATCAGGAACCCGAGAATCATTTTCAACTACTACTGACTGTTAATAACTCTTTTTTAAAATAATTTTTATTTTTCAATTACAGTTGATATACAATATTATAGTAGTTTCAGATGTATAACCTAGATATTAGACATTTATATAATTTATGAAGTGATCAACCTGATAAATCTGGTACCCATCTGACACTATACATATTTATTACAATATTATTGTCTATATCCCCTATGCTGTACTTTACATCCCCATGACTATTCTGTAGCTACCAATTTGTACTTCTTAATCCCTTCACCTTTTCACCTCCTCTAATCCCCCTCCCATCTGGCAACCATCAAAATGTTCTCTGTATCTATGAGTCTGTTTCTAATAACTCTTATTCTTAAAAACGGAATTTCAGGCATTGGTCTCAATTTCTATAAACACTTAACAAATATGTTATTATATCTGTAAAACTCAAAATAGTACTTATCTATGGGATACTAGGAAGCTTACTTCAGTTTTACAGTTGAGGGAAGTGAGGCAGAGAGTTAATTAAGTAACTTTATCAAGGTCACACGAGGAGTAAGTATTCAGGCCAGATTCAAGTCTGATTAGTATCAGGATCAACAAAATCACTGCCATGTTTAGAATTCTTATTGTTTGGTAGTCATTATATTAGTATTTTACATACATTATTTCAGGTAGTTGTCATAATATTTCTATGAGATAAGCACTAATTATTTCTATTTAACAAATTAGGGCAGTGCTCATTTGTAAATGAGTTTCCTTAAATCTAACTGTGACAAATTATATGGATTCTATTTTTTTCCAGCTCTTTTTTCCTTTAAAGTTCTGTCTTCACAATGTGGCTACTGTAATTCACACTGTAGTCATATTTGACCTGGACTATTTAAATAGTCTTCTAATTGTTCTTCTATCTCTAAATTTACTTTCCCAATCATCTCTCTTTTCTTACTCCTGATTCTATTCTGTATAGCCCCTAGAGTCATTTTTCTAAAATCAACTCATTTACTTTCATTCTTCTCATCTTTTCAGGGATTCCTTGTGGCCATAGGACAGAGTTGACTCTGGTCTGACATATTTATCTATCTGCCCCCTACCACCCTGTTGCCCTAATTCACCCTATACCCTTTCCAGATTCATATCCCAGGGTAATTTCCTTGTCACCCCTACTTCAGTCATACCAACCTATTTGCTGTTTTCTGATCATAACATACTATTTTATACCTCTCTGGATTTACTCATGACTTTTTCTCTACTTCAAATCATTTTTCCTTGTTAGGTCTCTTGACTAGCTTCTAACTATACCTTAAAATGCAACTTCATTCATGTGCTGAATGAAGCCTTGTTGACCACTTCTGTTCTTAATGGAGTTGATCTAATGACTCCTTTGTGCTGCTTTTGTACCCTGTGAAGACTCATCTTAGATTTTATCGCTCGACATGTATCTATGTGTTTTCTGTGTGTGTTAGACTGTAGGTTCCTTCGTTTGTTTATTTATTGGTTTATTCACCATACATTCTGAGTAATCTATTATTTGTCAGATGGTGCTTGGTAGGAAAGACATTAAGATGATGAAAATATGGTCCCTGTCATCAAGGAGTACCTAATGTAACTGAGAAACTGAACAAGTACTGTGATGGAGATATATAGGAGCAACATAGTACCCAACTCTGAGACAAATTGAGCATGTTAGAAAAAGGCCCCTTGAAGCGTAGACATATTTTTTGTTTTGTTCAACACAGTATCTCCGGCACCCAGTTCAGTAAATTAAAAAGAAAAGAATGAGTGAATAGAATGTATGATATGGCAGGCAACTCTGAAAATAAGTGTAATTAGAAAACAGTTTTAGTAACATGTTTGATCGCCATTCTTACTACGTAAAAAAATGAAACAGCCCTGGCCGGTTTGGCTCAGCAGTTAGAGCATCGGCCTGCGGTCCTGAGAGACCCGGGTTCGATTCCCGCTAAGGGCGCGTAACTCGGTTGCAGTTTGTCCCCGGCCCTGGTTGGTTGTGCGGGTGGCAGCTGCTCGATGTGTTCCTTTCACATCGATGTTTCTCTCTCTCTCTCTCTCTCTCTCTGTTCCTCTCTCTCCCTCCCACTCTACCTGAACAAAAAATGGAAAAATGTCCTCGGGGGAGGATAAAAAAAAAAAAATGAAACATGGGGTTTGTACAATTAATTTGTTTTCTTTGAAAATGAGATTGATTTCATAGAAATATTCTTAGAATGAGATTATCTTTGGAAGTTGTAAACTAAAACATTTTTTTACTCCCCCCCTGAACTCCCCCCCCAGTAGTCTCTAGGGTACAGTTAGGTGTGTAACTGTATATAAATTATTACCAGTACATTGCATAGTGACTTATTTTATCCTCTTTTGGAAGAAAGGTAATATGGTAAAGGGATAATGTGAATAAATTGTTCAGAAGTCTTTTTCTTACTTGAATATATTAAGTGTGCCTGAAAATACCCTTTGATATGTTTAACATTGACAGTTTAAAATATACATTCAATTTGGGAGGAATTTCTGCCTTTTACTATTTGGTTGCCATTTACCTTATTTTCTCAACTACATTTACCTTATAACCTGCAGTGACAGAGATTCCTTTGACAAGTACAGCGTCATGCAGGGAGGTTATAATAAGGGATGTGGGACATGGTGTATATATAAAACAATTAGTTCTCTTAAACACAAGGCTTTCAAAACCAGAAGAACTGCTGTATTGAGATTTTTTTATGATGCTTTAAGGACAATTATTCTCAAATCAAGTTTTCAATTTTTCTGCAAGAATTTTCACTTTTACATTAGATAAAAATGCTGAAAGAATTTAAAATATTGAAAAATATATAATTGAGTTCTGAGGACATAGAACACTCTTTGTCAGAACGTTCTTTTTTAGAATAGCAAATAAATGGCATGTCTATAGTAGAATAATGTTCTAGTATTTGCACTTAACTTAAAAAAGTAGAATACACACACATATATGTATATACACACATCTCTTTTTTAAGTTATTAAGATTTGATCTCTGTAAAGAATTTGGGAGATATAGAATAGCATAAAGAAGAAAAATGTAAAGACCCCCAACTATCACATAGTGATAACCACTCTTTATATATGGGAATTTTTTTCTCGTAGTCTTTTTTTCTGTGTGAATATACAGGTACACACACACAGCACCTTTTTTTTTTTTTTAAAGAATGTTTCTATGAGATACTGCCACTTCTGTCTATAATACTGGAAACTGGAAAGCATATTGCTTTCTCTCTAACAGTGGGAAAAACAACAACAACAACAAAACAAACTACAAAAATGAAAACTTTCCCAGAACCCATTAAGTAGCAGAAGTGACAGGATGACCAAACACCCTGAAATCCAAAATGAGACTGTCCTCATCCAGGAGAGAGTGATACGATGCAGACACTCCTGTGGCAGAGCAAGGAAGAAAGGCCTAGCTATCATACGCATGAGAAAGTAGAAACTAATTACATTTTCATGGGTCACTAATACCTTAGTTAGAGCTATCATGTTAGTATAGAACCCCTAGTTGTGTGTCCCAGATCCAAGAGGAACTTATACTCATTCATATGTTCTTTGCAATGGACCTCCACTGCATGCTCATGAGAAAGATTGGGAGCTGGCTAAGAGGTCAGAGAGAATCATCCATGATCTTACAGGCATGGAGAAGGGGATCAGCCACTGCTGTGAAAAAGGCATGGAGTCCCACCCCCTTGCTTGTACCCTTCACTCATACTGATCGAAAACTTTATAGCACTGGGGGCCTGGGGGAGGGGAAGCAAAATATGTCTCTCTGCAAGGTACAGGAAAAGACCCGTTATTACTATAGAAAAGATTGAAGTAAAAAAAAAAAAAAGTTATTTTACCCCTGGGAGAATGGCAGAAGATAGTTCTGGGCCCAGGATCTTATACCAAATACATTAGTGGTCTTCTAACAATGGGAGAGGGCATGACCCTGCACTAGATTCACCACAGAGACAAAGCCGAGTTTGGCTGCCACTGGAGGGAAGGGTGGGGATGTTGAACAAGCTCTACAACTTGGTACCAGGCACAGAGGACCTACCTAACACTGAGCCTGGCCAGGACAGCAGACAGAGTCCTTGGATCTTTACTAATAGCATAGCAAGTGGCAGTAATCTTCCACTGGGTGATGGGCAAGGAAGGAGGAAGGGAGGGAGGGAGAGAGAGAGAGAGCGAGAGAGCGATCAAGAGATCAATTCTGTATAGTAGGCATACAGGTGTAGCCGAA